TAGGACCTCCAGCAGGTGAGTGTCTATCCATCTGGGACCCAGGGAGGAAGAGCAAAGTGGTGAAGACATGGCCTGGGCTGCGGATCTCTCCTCTTCCACTGACCACCAGTGTGATCCCGGGAGTTCAGTGTCTTCACTTGAAAAATGGGGATCGTGATAGTCCCTGTCTCAGAGGGTTGCTAAGGCTTAAAACAGGTAATGTGGGTAAAGCACTGAAAACAGTACTCTGGTGGTAATCAGATTGCAATACCTAAATGTATCAGACCAAGGGGTTATACCCCTTCAGTTTATACAATGTTATTTGTCAATTACGTGTCAATCAAAAAACAAAAAGCAAACAAACAGTGCCTGGCACCTGGTAGTCAGCAAACCCCTTCCCTCTGCCTCTTGCCCCATCCTTGCCTCTCCCCTTCCCCTTCCCTCTGCTCCTTTCTCAGCCTCCTCCCCTCTCTCCCCCTGCTGCTCATACCCTCTCCCCTCCCCCCTTCCTCCACCTCCCACCAGGTGTGGACTCTGGGTAAAAGCAGAGGATAGTCTCCATGCCCCCCCTGTTCCTGCACCTTTGCTCCACGGGCCCTTCCCTCTGGCTCGAATTCTCCCCCACCCCAACCTTAGACTTACCAGCTTTATCCCCTGTGTCCTCTGTGCCCGGCACAGTGTCTGCATGGCATAGGTGCTTAATGTGTATTCTCAACAAATGATTCTATTCTACCCCTCAGCAAACAGGAATTAGTAGAAAGTGTGGGCTTTGGAAACAGATCTGGGCCAGAACTGCTGGCTCTACGTGGACAGCGTGACCGGGTGACTTATTCATTCTCTCTGAGCCTCTACTTCTTCATCTGTAAAGTGGGGATAACGTGGCTGCTGGAAAGATGAAATGAGCTCTTGTGTCAAATACCCAGTGTGTACCCAGCTGGCACTGGGTCGTGATTTCCCACCCCAAGTCCCTTTTAAATTTTGTTGGCATAATATTGCTGAGGTTGCAAACTAGTCTGTACTTTGAGGCCCAAGACTTGTTGATAAGATAATTCATGATTCCATGGGAAATGTGATATTATACCCCGGAGTAAAGACCCAGGACTGGCCGTCAGCCGTCCTGAGTCCCCCTCCCAGTTCTGCCACTACCTGGTTGAGTAACCCAAGGTCAGAGTGACCGTGCCTCCTGTGTCATGTCTTAATCTGCCAGGTGGAGGTTTAGATGGAATTAAACCTCCTTTAAACTGCCCTGGTCGCTTTTATTCTGCTTATTCACTTAGACTTTCTTTAAAAGTTGACTTTAAAAGAAAACTTTATATCACCACTCCAAAGACTGCAAGTAGAAAGGTAACAGCAGCCACCAGTAGAATGGAAACAAAACAGTATTATAAAATCCTTGCCAGATACTGGTCCCTGCCAAGGCTCTGAGTGGAGGCTGCCTCATACTTTGAGAAGGGAAATTCACACAGGCTGGGGAGCTGGGAAACACCGCAACACTCACCTGAGACATTCGGCGCTCTCTCAGGGAGGCCAGGAGAGTTGAAAAGGGCATACACGCCTCATTGTCACTTGGTGCTCTGTGTGTGTGTGTGCGCACGCAAGCGCTCAGCCATTGGGGCTACCTCTGGCCCCCACTCCTCTCTTGGGGGAAAACCAGACTCATCGCAGACGTGGCCTTTAGTAGATGGACGAGCTGGCAGGTGGAGCAATGGCTGCTTGTGCCCTTGACCCAGCCGTGTTAACGATCTGTGCCTGACCAGGCTGGAACAGTTACAGGACAGCCCCTGAAACAAGGAGACACCACCACCATGGCCATGGGACCCCAGCCCCGACCATGGCTGAGCCACATACAAACTGCCTCCGTGGACTGGACTGGATGCAGTATTTTTATTTTATTTTAGGCTCAGTTCTAATATATCTGTGCATGTCTTTAGAGTGGTCCTCTGTAGGCCAGGAATCTTTTTAGGACAGGGTTTTCACTTATATGTGGATTTTATGTAGTTGCCTTCAAAACACATGGGTTCTTCCAAAACACTCCCTTTGCTATTTGATCCTGTTCCTTACACATATGTGACAAACACATTTAGTACCATTTCAGAGCCACAAAGGAGTTTTGGGTATGGATTATACTTAAAAAATTTATTCAGGTGTAATTGAAACACAGAAAACTCAGACATACTTAATATTTGATGGGTTTGGAGATAGGGATACGCCCATGAAACCATCACCACAGTCAAGGTAGTAAACATCCATCACCTGCAAGAGTTTCCTCCTGCCCCCATCTCCCCAATTTTGGTGGTAAGAATATTCAGTGCTATGTTAGCTATGGGGCTTGTCGTATAGAATATATAGCCTTTATTATGTTGAGGTGAATTATATACTTTTGAGGTTTTATAAACAACACAGAAAAGGTGGACAGCAAAGAAAATACTTGGTTCAAATGGAGATGGTACTGAAAGATTAAAACAGAACAAATTAAAGGGTTTTCATTTCTGATCTCCCAAAAAATATATTATTGTATAAGTTATATAGAAAGAACAAGACTAGACCTTATAGGCATTAGAATCTTTTTGTTCATCTCCCTGGATTCTTTTTTTTTTTTTTAATTTATTTATTTTTGGCTGAGTTGGGTCTTCGTTGCTGCGTGGGAGCTTTCTCTAGTTGCGGTGAGCAGGGGCTACTCTTCGTTGTGGTGCACGGGCTTCTCATTGCAGTGGCTTCTCTTGTTGCAGAACATGGGCTCTAGGCGCGCGGGCTTCACTAGTTGTGGCACACGGGCTCTAGAGCACAGGCTCAGTAGTTGTGGTGCACGGGCTTAGCTGCTCCGCGGCATGTGGGATCTTCCTGGACCAGGGCTCGAACCCGTATCCCCTGCATTAGCAGGAGGATTCTTAACCACTGCGCCGCCAGAGAAGTCCCTCCCTGGATTCATTCTTGAATTGAATTTCATGCTTCTTCCCGGCGTCCATCTCCTCCCTTCCCTCCCCTCCCCCATCCATGAGTGGCAGGTCTAATAGCTTGGCCCAGAATTACCTGGAGTTACCTCAGCGTTGCTGAGTCTGATGCATCCGTTAGCTACCACTGCAAAACAGCCCACCCACCAACTCGGTGCTGAAAATAACAAGCACACGTTGTTGCTTGTGCATCTCTGGATCAGCTGGTTAGTTCTTGGCTTAGCCTGGCTCCCTCACGTGTCTGTGATTAGCTGAGTGTTGGCTGGAAGCTCTGCTTTGCCTGCTTTTCCCATCCCTGATGTATGAAGCCCTTTTTGCTTCTCTGCAGAGGTATGGTCTTCCTCAGCACCGTTCCCATGTCTTCTCCCCGGACCCCAGCCAGGTCTGTCCACCGTGGTTCCCTCAGCTGAACGCTGGGCAGGTGAGCCTTCCCATGGATTACCTGGGCTGCATCTGAGTCCTTTATGTTAAAAGTCCCTCGCAGTTTACCCTTCTAATCACGTGTCCCTCATTCCCTTTCACCTCTTAGCACACACAGGATTGTGAATTCCTTTTACCTTGTTCATCTCTCAAGTGGGTGGGAAGCTTTTGAGAGCTGTGCGTTTTATATCACCAGCATCTAGCCCAAGGCATTATGTGCAAAAATAATTGGTGATAATGTCAAGTCTCCCAGGTAATTCTATTGTGCAGCCAAAGATAAACATAAGGATAACTATCTCCAATCTGTTCTTCTGCATCAGCTTGGTCCCACCCCCTTTCCGTCATCACCCCTTACTCCATTTCACAAATTGTCTGAATCGTTAGAAAAAAGTCATTAGAAAAAATAATGAATGCCCTGACACGTGGATTCTCAAGGTGCTCTTTACCGTTCTTTCCTTGGCTCCTCACACCAGGAAAGTTATCCAAGAAACGATTTCTCTGTTCGGATTCCTGTAAAAGAACGTGATTGGTTCAGCCGGGATTAGGTACCACCCGCGGCCCAATCAGTGTGCACTCAACACACCTGTGAGATGGGCACAGGTGCCCGCCGACCACGATCACCTCTGCCACGGGGACCAGCCGCACACCCGCGGCTCTCGTGCAGAGGACTGGCGTTAACTAGCATGTTCTCTTCCCCTATGGGAAAGCCTATTGGAGACTGATTCATTACCAGAAAAGGTTTGGCGAATAGAGATGCAGAAAGAAGGGAGCTTTTAGAGGCCTCTGGGTGCCTTCTGGGGGGACCCATGCCCTTGCTCTGCTCTTCTTCTGGAATCCACTTGGGGCTTGTCTTTCCTTTATGACTCTGCACGTGGAGCCTGTTGCCGTTCACCAGAGCACAGCTTATTCTACGGTAGCTGCATGTTAATCTCCTTGATGGGTTTGAAATATAGCCTAGTTGCTTCGGAGACTTCATGAACGCTTGAAGTGTTACTTTTATGCCATCTTTCAGGTGGATTGCTCTTCCTTCTGTGATACTCTCTTCCAAGATAGGTTGGTGCTTACTAGTTTCAAGGGGTGGTGCTTTCTGACCTTGTAGCAAATTCTGAGGCTTTCCTGATCATGGGGTGGTATTTCCAAGTGAAAACAACTAAGTTTCAAACAGCTTGGACTTCCCTGGTGGCACAGTGGTTAAGAATCTGCCTGCCAATGCAGGGGACATGGGTTTGAGCCCTGGTCTGGGAAGATTCCACATGCCACGGAGCAACTAAGCCCGTGCGCCACAACTACTGAGTCTGTGCTCTAGAGCCAACGAGCCACAACTACTGAAGCCCGCATGCCTAGAGCCCATGCTCTGCTACAAGAGAAGCCACCGCAATGAGAAGCCCACGCACTGCAACGAAGAGTAGCCCCCGCTCGCCACAACTGGAGAAAGCCTGCGCGCAGCAACGAAGACCCAATGCAGCCAAAAACAAACAAATAAATTTATTAAAAAACCAAACAAACAAACAGCTTGCGGCTGAGACGACATCACATCTGAGTTCTAAGCTCAGTGCTTGAATCAGAACACAGGTCTCCTGAAATATAATCTAGTGCTTTTTCTCTTCTGCCTGAGTGAGTTTGTTTTCTTTTCCACTGTTTCTTTTGCAGGGGTTCAGCTGTTGCAAAAATAATTGGTGATAATGTCAAGAAACTTCAGAAATTTGCCTCCACGGTCAAGATGTGGGTCTTTGAAGAAACGGTTAATGGGAGAAAACTGACAGACATCATAAATAATGACCATGAAAATGTAAAATATCTCCCTGGACACAAGCTGCCAGAAAACGTGGTGAGACTTTGGTTAATTCTAAAAGCTACATTCAGCTGAGTTAGCACTTGGGACGTGGGGAGATGGGAAACCTGCTTCCCCGGTCTCCTGTTCCTCTCTACCGCCAGGTTCATTGCTTGGTCTGTTTTGCTTTTCCTGACTCTGAACGTGGGCCTTGTGTTAGTTTGCTGGAGCTGCCATAACAAAGTACGATAGACTGGGTGGCTTAAACAACAGAAATTAATTTTCTCACAGATCTGGAGGCTTCACGTTGTCTGGAGGAAGAAATTTTCCTCTACCTTTCTGGTTCTTCTGTCTGGTCTGAGAATTAAGTTGACATGAGACAGATTAACAGGAGAAAATCAAACAAAAGTTTAATAACATGTGTGCATAGGAGAGACCCTGGAAAACTATGTCATTCACCAAAATGGCTGAAGCCCTCACCTTAAATATTATCCTCAGCTAAAGACAAAAGAGGATATTGAAGGTGGGGATAGTCAGTTCTGGGAGGTGATGGGGAAAGCACAGTAAACAAGGGTAAGGTGGTTACGCAGATTTAAGTCAGTGCCTTCCCCTTTCCTGAGAGTTTCTAGAGATTTGGTCCTCCCAGCTCTTCCAGGTACTTGGAGGGAGACCCCCCTTACAAATGGAGATTTCCCTCATGAATCTAAATGTTTCTTACAAAAGGGCAACTCCTACTTGGTTTTCAGTTTCCTCCTTGTCTGCTGTTTCTTAAAAAACAACCACCTTAAAATAATTAATGTGCCAGGGCTTCCCTGGTGGCGCAGTGGTTGAGAGTCCGCCTGCCGATGCAGGGGACACGGGTTCGTGCCCCGGTCCGGGAAGATCCCACATGCCGCAGAGTGGCTGGGCCCGTGAGCCATGGCCACTGGGCCTGCGCGTCCGGAGCCTGTGCTCCGCAATGGGAGAGGCCAGAACAGTGAGAGGCCCGCGTACCGCAAAAAGAAAATAATAATAACAATGTGCCAAAGAGGCATATTTTGAGGTGGCAAAATCTGCTCCCCTACAAAGCCCAAGATCAAGGTGTTGGTAGGGTTGGTTCTTCTGAGGCCTCTCCTGGACTTTTCTTCTTCCCGTGTCTCCAAGTGGTCCTCCCTCTGTGTATCTGTGTCCTAAGACAGACGCCAGTCATGTTGCAATGGGGCTTACCCCAGTGACCTCATTTTAACATAAAAACCTTTACAAATACCCTGTCTCCAGATACAATCACATTCTGAGGTACTAGAGTTAGGACTTCAACATACGAATTTTGGGGGAACACATTGCAGCTCATCACAGGCTACTTTCTTGGCATTCAGAGTGGTGGTCACATCAAAGCTAGAACTGATCATTTTGCCTTTGTCTTGTGTCTCTTGGTAACTCCCTAGATACCTGTTGACGAAAAATTAATCAGTCGGTCTAAGAAAGAAGTAGAAATTTTATTCGAGCCAAATTGAGGATTATAACTTGGGAATAGCATCTCAGTGTTGAGAACTGTTCTGCCCATTAGAAATCAAGGCATAGTTACATAAGTTTTTTGAGAGAGGGCTTTATGTTAAATGAATTACTGACAGTTCATACAATCCAAATCTGTACAAGATAAAGAAGGAATGTTATGTTTAAGGAGTTGTCTCCTTGATGCTAAGAGAATGTTGCTCTTCATGGTTGAGCAGGTATTTCCGACGATGGGGAAGGTTTGGTCCATGTGTAATGCAGATACACAATGCACAGTAGAGGGGAGAGAGGAGGCCAAAGGGCAAAGAAAATTTTTTTTGTTTAATTTTTTCTTGTCTTGCCACAAAATATGAATTTTATTTCACATACCCTTTCTAAGCTCATGGACTTTGGTCCATCCCTAGGCCAGCTAATGCACTGGTGAAACCGTGCACTTCAGATTGGGACTTGAACCCACATGCCGGGACTCAAACCCAGCCAAAACCCACAGTCTTCCAACTGAGGTCACACACCTGGTTTCAGGACTTAACGAAGCTCAGGTTCTTGATGTCTTATCGCAGAAAGAATTCAGTGAGAGACAAAGTGAAAGGTAAGAAGTGGGTTTATTCTGAGTGGCCCACAGAGTGTGGGCCATCTCAGAAGGTGAGAAAGGCACCAGGGTATGGGGTTGTCAGTTTTTATAGTGGTGGGTAATTTTGTAGGCTAATGAGTGGGAGGAGTATTCCAGCTATTTTGGGAAGGGGCGGGGATTTCCAGGAATTGGGCCACTGCCCACTTTTTGATCCTTATGGTCAGCCTTAGAACTGTCATGGCGCTTGTAAGTGTGTCATTTAGCTTGCTGATATGTTACAGTGAGCATATACTGAGGCTCAAGGTCTGGTGGAAGTTGACTTGTCCACCATCTTGGACCCATTTGGTTCTGATCTGTTTATGTCATGTCCTTGGGCTATGTCGTTCTTTCAGAGGTTGTGCCCTGCCCCCTTCCCTCCTGTTTTATTGGTCTGTAATTAAAATCAAAGTCAAGACCTAAATTACCGAATAAGATTGGAGGAAATAGAAAATGGGAAGACTGACAGTTTAAAATTCCAGCTTATTAGGCCTGAGCAGGAAAAATCTAGGTTATTGCCTGGCCTCATTCCAGTGACTTGGAGAGGAAGGAGGAGGTGAGCCTGAGAATGAAAATGGTGACCGGGCTGCTCATGTGAGTGAAATTCGCGAACTCCTGTTCCAGAGTCACCCCTGGATGGCTTTCTGTAAGAGTCTGTTTGAAAACCAGCCCAGGTGGCTGCCTGACTCCTAGCAGGGGAGAGATTTGTTGGCTGATGAATGCCAGCAAGTTTGGAGATGCAAAGACCTTGCTCACTGAGGATTTCCAGTTGCCTTTGGCTACAGTGTTCGTTGGTGTCAAGCCCTGTGCAAAGTAGTTTACATATATCATCATGTTACCCGAAAACTGGGTTTACCTCTTGGATTTATTACTTGGAGCAAGTAAGGAGAACACCAAGGATCTTTCCTAAAGCAGTGTCTCCCCAGCAACAAAACTGGGGAAGTTTTTTTTTGGCAAGAAGTAGGTTTATTAATATAGGACGCTTGTATGAGCGTCCTGACCCAAGCGGTCAGGCGAGGGAGCTCTGCCCTGAGGATTAAGTGGGCTACAATTTTATAGTCAAAGGAAAGGGGGAGGGGAAAAATTGGGGAAGTTTTAAGCTAAGGGAACACGCATACTCATGAAGGGGCTTGGGTGGTGGACTGAGTCCAAGCTAAAGTGGATTGAAAGTTACAAGGGTCAGGAAAGGTCAACATCATCATTCCTTAGGTTCCAGTTGATCTGGTGGTGTTTAAACCGGAGGCCAGTTTAAATCCTGCAAACTGCTTAAGATAGTGCTTTAGGCCAGTCTAACTGGGAGTCTTTACAACTGATATGTTATCTTTGCTGTTGTTACTTCTCTTGCCTGATAAGTTTGTCCTTTTGATCATTAATTACTGAGACCTGTTCAAAGGCAAGCACTGTGGTTCAGATCACAAAATGGCTTAGGCCAAAGATGGCTTCTCTTCTGTCAAGAAAGCCATGCCTTATTCTCTTTCTCCAGGGAACCCCATCCCTGTCTTGTTACAGTCTCATTTAATTTTCTCAGTGACCCTCTTAGGTTGATGCTATTAGCTTTCTTACTGTGATGGTGATTCTGATTTTATAGGGGAAGAAACCAGGGCTCAGAGAGGTTAATGAACTTGCCCCAGGTCACAGAGCTGGTGGCTGGCACACCTGTTCATGAGCCTGCTGCGTCATGGCCTTTTAGACAGTGATGACTTGATGACTTCCCTGTGTCACTGCACTAGGGCTGGGCAGCGTTTCCCTGCAGTTACTCCTGGTGCAGTAAGTGGCGAGAGGAAGGTTCCCTAGGGTTCTGAGCTGGGCAGTTAAGTTACCCAAGTATCTGATGGAAAGAGTAAAGGTGCCGCTATTCCCGCGGCTCTGGAAGGCCTCTGAGGTCATCTCTAAACATGCTTGGTGCAGACCATTCCTCCAAGCTTCCCTTCTCATACCTGTCGGGATCAATTACTCCTTCCCTTCTGTAGAGAGTTCCTTCCACTCTGTGTGGATCACTCTGTACCCCCAACTGCCCCAGGCATGTGGGCTTGACTTTCTGCAGTTTCGTTCTCCTAAGGTTCCTAGCGTAGTGCTCAGGGAACGTGGGGGGAGGTGAATCTGCCAGATGGTTCTCTGCCTGCACAGAGAACAGGGGAGCAGGGGGGAAGGAGGGAGTCAAGAGCCACGTCCCTCAGAGCATGGCCCATGACTGACTCCACCCCCCACCTCCCCGGGTACCCAGGTGTGGACGAGGGAGGAACTCTGCTCCCAGATAGTTGATATCTGAAGCCTTGTAGGCTCATGACAATTAGTGTATCAGTTCCCTGGACTGGACGTTTACATGGTTTCTGGTCATTTGCTGTTATAGACAATGCCCCCAGGAAAGGCCTTGTCTCTGTCCCAGGGATGGCATCACTGGGTCACAGGGATGCATCCTGTAATCTGCCAGATGGCATCACTGGTTTCCAGCGTGATAGTGAAACTGCACAACCCAGATTGGGACTTAAACCCACTGTCTTTTAATTAAAATCATACACCTGGTGTCAGGACCTACTGAAATTCAGGTTCTTTATGTCTCAGCTCAGAAGGAATTCAGTGAGAGACAAAGTGATAGGTAAGAAGTGGATTTACTTAGAGAGATACACATTCCGTAGACAGAATGCAGTCCGTCTCGAAAGGCAAGAGCACCCAGGGAGAAACACACTCCACAGACAGAGTGTGGGTCATCTCAGAAGGCCAGAGGCCTCGGGGTTATGGGGTTGTTAGTGTTCACAGGCTGGCTAATTTCATAGGCTAATGAGTGGGAGGAGTATTCTAACAGTCGTGGAGAGGGGGTGAGAATTTCCAGCAATTGGACCCCACCCACTTTTGGGCCATTTATGGGGGGCCTTCAGTCATGGTGCCTGTGGGTGTGTTGTTTAGCATATGCTAATGTATTATAATGAGAGCTTAATGAGGCTCAAGGTCTACCCGAAGT